GTTCCATAATGCATCATCCCGCAACTAACTCATTAGTCACATTGCTTGCAAGGCTTATAGTGATGTGCATTACTAAGAAGGCCCAGAGATACCTCTCCGATACACGGAGACCTCCTGGACAGTTCGCTTTGAATAAAACTCCTCCAGCAAGGCTCAACCTTGGTTTTACATTTGCCTAACAACCTATAACTTTCCCTTGGGTTCTGCAGACCCGAGGGTCATCTTTATTTTAAACCCCCCTTGGGCCAGTGCTCCTCTGAGTGTTGGTTTGAACCGAGTAGACTGTAGGGCCACCTCGGGGAAACTTGAGGGTTGGTTTTACTTGTAGGATGTCTCATCCGGTGTGCCCTGAGAACGACATATGTGCATCTCCTATCGGGATTTGTCGGCACAGTCGAGCGGTCTTGCTGGTCTTGTTTTACCATTGCCGAAATGTCTTGTAATCGAGATTCTGGGTCTGATCGGGTTGTTCCGGAAGAAGGAATATCCTTCGTTGATCGTGAGAGCTTGTGATGGGCTAAGTTGGGACACCCCTGCAGGGTATAAACTTTCGAGAGCTGCCCGCGGTTATGTGGCAGATGGGAATTTGTTAATATCCGATTGTAGAGAACTTGACACTTGACTTAATTAAAATAAATCAACCGCGTGTGTAGCCGTGATGGTCTCTTTTCGGCGGAGTGTGGGAAGTGAACACGGTTTGGGTTATGTATGCACGTAAATAGTTTCAGGATCACTTCTTGATCACTTCTAGCTACACGACCGTTGCGTAGCTTCTCATCTTACTCTTATTTGCGTATGTTAGCCACCATATTTGCTTAGCGCTTGCTGCAGCTCCACCTCATTAGCTTATCCTACCCATAAGCTTAAATAGTCTTGATCTCGCGGGTTTTGAGATTGCTGAGTCCGCGTGACTCACAGATACTACCAAAACAGTTGCAGGTGCCGATGATACCAGTGCAGGTGATGCTACCAAACTCAAGTGGGAGTTCGACGAGGACCTTGGCCGTTACTATGTTTCGTTTCCTGACAATCAGTAGTGGAGCCCTGTTGGGACGATCAGGGATCTAGCAGTTGGGTTTATCTTCTTTTCATTTGGTTTGTCCGTAGTCGGACTATGTGTGTATTTTGGATGATGTATGAATTATTTAAGTATTGTGTGAAGTGGCGATTGTAAGCCAACTCTCTTATCCCTTTCTTGTTCATTACATGGGATTGTGTGAAGATGACCCTTCTTGCGACTAGACCACAATGCAGTTATGCCTCTAAGTCGTGCCTCGACACGTGGGAGATATAGCCGCATCGTGGGTGTTACACCACGCCCCCTCCCCTTGTCCAATTCGGATTGGGCAAGGGGGGCGCGCGCCACCTCCCGTGGCCTGCCTCCTCTCCTCCACTATGGCCCATTAGGCCCATTAACTTTCCAGGGGGGTTTCGGTAACCTCCCGGTACTCCGAAAAATCTTCGAACTTTTTCAGAACCATTCCGGTGTCCGTATATAACCTTCCATTATATTAATCTTTACATCTCTACCATTTCGAGATTCCTCGTCATGTCCGTGATCTCATCCGGAACTCCAAACAAACTTCGGTCACCAAAACACATAACTCATAATACAAATCGTCATCAAACATTAAGCGTGCGGACCCTACGGGTTTGAGAACTATGTAGACATGACCGAGACACATCTCCGGTCAATAACCAATAGCGGAACCTGGATGCTCATATTGGTTCGTACATATTCTACGAAGATCTTTATCGGTCAAACCGCATAACAACATATGTCATTCCCTTTGTCATCGGTATGTTACTTGCCCGAGATTCAATCATCGGTATCATCATACCTTGTTCAATCTCGTTACCGGCAAGTCTCTTTACTCATTTCGTAGTGCATCATCTCGTAACTAACTCATTAGTCACATTGCTTGCAAGGCTTATAGTGATGTGCACTACCGAGAGGGCCCAGAGATACCTTCCCGATACTCGGAGTGACAAATCCTAATCCCGATCTATGGCAACTCAACAAACACCTTCGGAGACACCTGTAGAGCATCTTTATAATCACCCAGTTACGTTGTGACGTTTGATAGCACACAAGGTGTTCCTCCCGTGTACGGGAGTTGCATAATCTCATAGTCAGAGGAATATGTATAAGTCATGAAGAAAGCAATAACAATAAAACTAAATGATCATTATGCTAAGATAACGGATGAGTCTTGTCCATCACATCATTCTCTAATGATGTGATCCCGTTCATCAAATGACAACACATGTCTATGGTCAGGAAACTTAACCATCTTTGATTAACGAGCTAGTCAAGTAGAGGCATACTAGGGACACTCTATTTGTCTATGTATTCACACATGTACTAAGTTTCCGGTTAATACAATTCTAGCATGAATAATAAACATTTATCATGATATAAGGAAATATAAATAATAACTTCATTATTGCCTCTAGGGCATATTTCCTTCAAATGGAACATGTTTAAGATGTGGTGTCAATGGAGGCAGAGGCAATGAGACGGGATTGTTTACGTATCCAAAGCCTAGGATGCAGCAAGATTTACATACAAACTGATAATTTGACCGTGGTGGAGGCACTGACTAAGAATGAAGGATATTCCTTGATTGCAGCACCAATTCTCAATGATTGTCGAATTTACTGAAAGAGTTCGGGAATGTCTATATCGATCTTTGCCCTCTCGACCGCGACCGCGTCGCCCCCGCGGGCGGCCGGCCGCGCCTCCCCTCCTTCCCCGCGAGCGTCTCCCCACTCCCCTCCTCCTCCTCCCTGCCGCCGTCGCTAGCGCCCGCCACAGGCCTACCCGCGCGACGTTGGCGGCGGCGGCCCCCAGCCCTTCCCCATCTAGGGTTTCTCCGGCGCGGGAGGGAGTGGCTCCTAGCGGTGTCTTCAGGCGGCGGTGGTCCTGTGCGGCGGGGGGGCTTCCCATCACGGGCGGCGGCGAGCTTTGGGCGGTGGCGGCGCCGTTGGCGGCGGGGCAGCGCGACAGCGCAGGCTGGCGGTGTCCGCCTGATCCAGATCTGGGCCCTTCGGGCCCCATTTGGGCCGGGGCGGGCCGGCGACAGGCGCGGCGTTGGCTTGGCCCTCAGGAGGCGGTGGCGGCGCATCGGGCTGGTGGCGGTTGGCGGCTCGGCTGCCGGCGTGCAGCAGCGCGGTGGTCAGGGCTTTGCGGTCCCTTATGGGCCCGGCCAGGCCCGGGTGGCCTGGTGTGGCTCGGCTGCAGCATCCGATAGGCAATCCGCGTCGGTTCTGGAGGCAGAGGCCTCCGGCGTGACGACGGTGGAGGCGGTTCCCTCCCATTTGGCACCGGTGCCTCCGTCCGTGCCATCTAGGCGCATCTCGCCTCTGCTCTTTTGACCTCGTCGTGGTGTTCGCAGCAAGACGGCGTGGATGGGTCCAAGACCGTGGTGGCGCGTGCTTGCGGGTGGCAAGATGGTGTGTTGGCTCCGTTCTAGTGGGGGTCGAGGCATGGGGGTGCTGGAGAAATCCCTGCTGGTTCTTCCGGCTCCGACGTGGTGACGCCGATGGGTGCCGCCATTCCTTCTTGAAGGGCGTTGGTGCTACCCCTCCCTCGCTCCCCTTCCGTGTGCCGGCGGAAACCCTAGGACTTGCCCGGACAGTAGTGTTGTTGGCGTCGCATTCCTCCTTGGAGGTGTTGTTTGGTACGCGGCGGTCCGGTGCCATGGCGAGTGGTGGGACGTAGATGGAGGGCGCGGCGGTGGCAGACCATTCGTGCTTGTCGAGTTGCCGTTGTTGGCATTTTTGTCTTTTTCTTTTTTCTTTGGGCTTGATGTGCCGTTTGCCCCGGCAGTTACCTCGTGATCGGTGTTCGTTTATAATATAAAGCGAGGGAAATCCTATTTCGTATCATTGTGCGAGAATGAGAGTCTAATATAGTAGCCCATGAGCTAGCTAGTTTTGGGAGGTGTACTTAGGGTTGGACCAAAAGCTCGAAGCTCGCGAGCTTAATGAGCGCTCGATAGTTTGGCTTGTTAAGCTCATAACTCGCTTCTTAATGAACATAACCAATCATTGATTTTATCTCGTTAGCTAACAAGATTCGCGAGTAGCTCATTAAGCTCGTTAGTAACAACACAACAAATATTTCCATCTTACGTGACAAACTTTTTGTAGCACCTCAACCCATCTATTTAATCTAATCAACATATGAGGTAACAAACTACTTCATTTTTTTAGTCACCATATTTCATCTTAAAAACCATACCTACACATTCATCATGTATATCGTAACACATTATAATCTGTTAACGAGCTCTCGCGGGCGCTCACGAGCTTAACGAGCCGAGCCGAGCAAGGTTTTCTGCTCGTTAATCTTAACGAGCTTAACGAGCCGAGCCTTAACGAGTACGAGCTTAACGAGCCGAGTTGCTCGTTAGTCCACCCTACGGTGTAATCCACCAACCATGTGGTTGGATACAGCTCCTAGTTTTACAGCGGATGATGTAAGTGCAAGCCAGGAAGGCCTTCCCGTCAAAAAAAAAAGAGCCATCCCTATCCCTATCATTATCTATCCGAATCCCGCCAAGATCCTGGCACCATAGTTTATCAAGTGTAGAGGTGGATGAGCCAACAGCCCACATGCAGCGGCGGCATGGCAACAGCACTAGCAGGCACTTCCGAAATCCTTCTTACCACCGGAATCAGCCACCGTAGACATGACATAAATCGGGAGAAAAGTATGCAAGAATAGAAGCCAGATAAACTTATTTGAATTTTTATTTATATAGCAAACATGTGACTCACCTGGCTTGTCCTGCCAAGTTATTAGGCATACTATCCTAGAAATGTTTTTGTGGTCCCAACAATCCATTGAACACTTCCCTGAGGTGAAGATTAAAAAATGAACTACACAATATCTCAGCCAAAAGAAACTACTGCAAAAAAAAAGGTGGGAAGCAATGTGCTAGAAGAATGAACTAAACAATATTGCAGCCGAGCGAGCAGACCAAATCGGCTTGCTAAATCTGAAGAGCAGAAGCAATAGAATCTGCCAGGCTGAGAATTTCAAACGGCCGTCTGTCCTTGACCGCTTCAACTGTGAGAGGGCACGAGTCGGTAATCCAAAAGTGGCTCAGGGCGTGCTCCGGGCCCTCTGAAATTTTTACAATGACCAACTTGGTAAATATAATCAAGAAAATGCAGAACAAATTATTTTTATAACACAAAAGTGCTGAACTAGCAAAAGCTCTTGAAATTTCATTTGTGCAAGGTGCTTCCATCATAGTCATGTACACAGAGGTAACTGTGTGGCACCCTCAGTATTTTTAAGTCCTGCCACAAGACCCTCTTCCAGGGGCCGATTGTATCTAGATATTGGAAGCTAGCACGTGGGCCCTCTGCGGGTCAAGTTCTACATCTGGCCCGCTTGCCAGGACAAATGGAGCATTGTACTCTAGGCTGTTGGCCTCTTCTCGGGCTTGTAAATAACGTTTTCTTCTAGCAATGCATCGAGCCGCAAAGCTTTTGTTGGGTAGTGCTTCCCACAAAGTATTTGAACAAAAGATTTTACTTGCATAAGGAAAGGTTACGGGGCACGATGCATCCTAACTGCCTCAATGGTGAATTAGGATGCGAAGAATATAACATTGGAGTTGAAACCTTATAGGATGGCTGTTTGCGTGAACAATCAAAAGTGGGTTCTCCAAATTTCTTCACTCAAATTGGTGTCTCAAGGTGTTAGGACAAAAAGATATATACATAACATTGGAGTTGAAACATGATGCAGCTACACTGCATCAACAAGAAAGTAGGATGCAAGGAAAATCATAAGATTTTATGTGTCACGGTAGGAACTGGAAGGCTTCTTTCTTTGATATTTTTTAAGGATTTCATCCCATGCAAGCCAAAAGTTGGACAAGTTTGCATCTAGAAGCTGACTTGGCAAAAAGAAGAGAAAATGGTTTTCCCTTTAGGGCGAAGGACATTTCATATGTGAGCTCGTTGGAAAATCAAGAATCCGTTGCTCAGTCAAACATGTATGGTAGGTGAAAGAATAAATGTTTAACAGTGACAAAGCAACAAAAAAAAGGAAAATAGGTTTGCCAACCAATTTGACCAGCTGTTCTAATTCGGTCACATGCTATTAAGAGGGTATCAGCTGAGAAAGAAACTAACTTGTTCATAATCATATTATTTGTCTATGAATCTCTGATTCAGGAGCAATAAAGAGAAAACTAATAAAAATACCAAGGGAAACCTTTTAGCATGCTAATATTATGAAGCTAATGACGGGTACATACCTCCATTATCAGGCTTAAATTTCTCCCATGATTTGTTGGGGAAAATGCCATGTGTTACGTATGCACTAACCTTTGCTGCTCCATGAGCAGCCAACACTTTCTGCACAGGAAACTAGTGTTAGTTTACACTCTTGATGAAGTATGGTAAAAATACATAATTGAGATATAAATTTATTCAACCACAAGGACACATGAGTTGAAGATCCACAACTAATCACCAGAATAAAAGGAGATGTTAAGCCATAAACAAATTTCATTACCTGGCATTCAATCAAAGTACCACCAGACTGCACCAAGTCATCCACTATAACAACATGACGGCCTCTAGCATCTCCTTCTTTTATACGCACAATTCTTTGATCACCTTCTCTAACTTTGTTGCATATAATCTATTTCAACACATTTTGCGGAAACAAGTCATTATACAATAAATAGATAAGAATGACAATTTCTGTTCATGTTTAGAGGTGTTAGGACAGAGCATATTTACCATAGGAAAATGTTGGAGTTGCTTATAGAAGCGCTTCCATGCGCCATCATCTGGAAAAGCTATGGCTATCTGAAAAACATATTAAGGAGTGTATCAGACAGATACCATACAACATTGTCAATTAAAACTTGTTTTTCTTCCTTTAACTGGGACTCGAGCGTACTCACGTTATCAGAATCAGGTAGCTCCTGAAGCCTACTTTTCAACAAGGGGATGCCACTCTCGAAACATGGTAAGATTGCATCTCCAAAGTAGAATCTCTCCTGATGTATTGTTGAACACAAGTTTACACGTATTTTTTTAAAGGAACAGGTGAAGAACTCAACTGGATGATATGGACGAATTTCACTTACCTGCAAAGCATGAATATCAAAAATCACTAAACTGGTGGGTCCACCTCTGGATATTGGTATGTGTGACAAGCTTCTAGCAAGTGTAAAGGCGGTTGCGACATCTCCTTCGTCTTCCATACGCTCGGAAGTCCCAGTTGGGAAAAATGGCAGTATCAAAGTAAATGAAGCAATGAACAGCTTTGGCAGATTATATATAATCGATATTTGCTCAAATATGACACCAGGCGAGCTGAATGATGCTAAGAAGGCAACATGTCGCCCACGAATGTTCTGGGCATTTGGTATGAACAAATCTGGAAATCCATCGGGAAACTTCCTGAAAAATTGAGCAGAAGTTAACAGGAGACATAAGTTTGGTGTACTTCTACTAACATTAAATAAGTTGCTGCAGATTCAAATTTAAAAGTAAAAAAGTCCTTGTTCCTACCTACTCCTAAATTACCATGATCAGAACATTGCGATGATTTACACTTCCAATTCTACGTCCCTTGATGGTGCCCATGAGCAATCACATATATGCTACTAAATCAGTTTTTGGGCCATAACAGGCGTTTGTGAAAGGAAGTACAGTTTCTACGCGAATTGTAATATAACATGCTTCTGTTGTCCCAAGTGCCTACTGAACAATAATTGGGTTAGATCCCCTCCATCAATTATCAATCCGGATGTCTCCAGAATGTTTCCACTTTCCATCCACTTTGGACATTTTTCCTTAACATGATTTCTCCATTAGTTTGGGGAAGAAATGTCATCCTGATGCACTCTGCAAGTTTAAACGAGCCCACGCCCAAATCATCACATCTGCCTATTTTCCCTGAACTGGAGCAATCGAGAGACTTCCCTCCGACAGACTGAAAGCCTGGGGCTCAAATTGTGTGCCCAGAGAATCCACTATTCCGGACGCACCAAATAAAATTCAAACACCCAAGGAGTAAAACAGAGCAACGCAATACTAGAAGTGAAGAGGGAGCTCGGCCGGGACCTCCAGGAGATGGTGCAGAGCTCGATGTCGTCGTTCCGGGCGGCCACCTGCTGGGCGAGATCCCTCATCTCCTCGCAGTGGTAGAGCAGGATGCTCTTCTGCGCCCCCGCGCCGCCGGCCATCTTGGGCACGGCCAGCGGCTTGACGTCGGGGTGCAGCACGTGGAGGCCGGTGCCGTTGGCGGTGCCGACGCCGCGGACCCCGCCGAGGTGGAGGCTGGCGTGGAGCCTGCCGGAGGCAGCGGCGGAGGCGGACGCGGAGGCGCCGGGGGAAGGCCACGGGAATGCGAGGCTGGACTTCGGGCTGGGGTGCGCGCCCGGGGCTGGGGTTTTGGCGCGCAGAGCGGCGGGGGAGGCGGAGGCGGAGGCTGCCGTTGCCATCTTCGGTCTGCCTCGCCTGTCACGCGCGCCGCGAGGGGGAGGACTGGTTCTGATGTGGCAGGTGAGCAGGCCGAGGGGAGGCAGGCGCGCGCGGTAGTTTATGTACTGCGCGTGTTTGTTTACCGTGGGAGAGAATTGTCGGGGTTGGACAGGGGAGAGCGGCGTGGGCGCACCGGCGGCGGACGGTGGGTCGTCTCGTTTGGGTAGGTGCGGACCAGGGCGGACTCACGACCGGGGAGGATGGCGTATGCCCGCCGGAGCGGTCAGCCGATAAGGATTCGAAACGCCGTTTTTCTGTTGTTGGGACTCTGGGCGTCGCGTCACGTGTATACATTCGTGTCATCTCTGGTTCTTGTCCGTTTAAAACGTGTTTGCGATCAAACGTTATGTTAATTCAAAAAAAAAAAAACAAGTGTGATTCTCTCTCTCAAAAAAAAGTGTGTGATTCCGATTAATGGTTTCTTCTCATCTTATGGTACTGTCTTTTTTAACCGGGATTATCCCCTTTTCATTGCAAAATAAAATAAAATAACATACTCCTACTAATACAGTATCGGAAAAGAAAAAATAAGACCATCCAGAACTAGCCCTTGAAGGTATTTTTTAATTTGGACTATGATAACTGGCAACCGTGTGCCAGATTGCAAAGATCACCACACCCCCTCGTATCGTACGAAACCCATCCCATCCCAATCGCAAAAATCACAGCAGCCCCTCGTGTCGTACAAAGCCCATCACTCCCGATTTTCTGGGCCATCCCGATCACCCCCTCCCCCGGCACGAACCCCTCCCTTCTCCCGATTTCCAGGCAACCCGGATCCCCTGCTGGGGGCGGGCCCGTCGCGATTCTGCACAACAGTTTGAAAAAAGCGAAAAAATGCAATAAGAGGGGAATCAAACCCACAACCTCCCACAATTAATTTAGCAACAACAACCAACTAGGCTACACCACATCATGTGATTCCTTTCAACTTGCACACTACTTGTACCTTGCTGAGATGAGATCGAATGAAACTGAAAATTCATACATTACGGTCTTATTTTCACATAAGTTACCGGAGGATGTTATTCAACAACTTTTCATTTTTTGCTGTAAAGATATCGCGGTGTTTGTACATAAGTTGTCAGGTATGCTATTTGTATATTACCATGTTGTTTTGATATAAGTTACCGGGTTATGGTTTCTCAACAACTTTTTTCCACTTTAGTCAAAGTTATCGTGGTGTTTGTACGTAAGTTATTGGGTATGCGGTTGATATATTACCATGGTATTTTCGCATGTTATTGGGGGATGCTTTTCAACCCCCTAGTCAAGTTACCACGGTATTTGTACATAAGGTATGGGGTATGTGGGTTGTATATTACCATCTCATAAGTTATCGGGGGTATATGTTTCTACAATTTTTTTTCTCTCCTTAGTAAAAGTTACCGTAGTGCTTCTATGTAAGTTATCGAGTATGTGGTTCATATATTACTGAGCTATTTTCATGTAAGTTATCGAAGGCGGGGGAGGGAGGAGATGTTTTTAGCAACTTTTTTACCTCGTTGGCCAAAGTTATCATTTGTATGTAAATTAATGAGTATGCGGTTCGTTTATTACTATGATATGTTCACATAATAGACTGGGGGTATATTTTCAACAACTTGTTTCCCTCATCGGCCTAAGTTACCGTGGTGTTTGTACGTAAGTTATCGGGTCTGCGGTGCTTAAAATATCATGCTATTTACACAAAAGTTGGGGTATGTTTCATCAACCTTTTTTTCATGGGTTGAAAAGTTACCATGATGTTTGGACATAAATTATCAGCTATGTGGTGTGTATATTACCATGCTATGTACATGTAACGCCCTCGATGCGGCTATATCTCCTACGTGTCGAAGCACGACTTAGAGGCATAATCACATTGAAAGCAATATCGCAAGTAAGGTAATCTTCACAACAACCCATGTAAATAGATAAAAGGGGAAAGGATACATAGTTGGTTTACACTCGCCACGTCACACAAATACATGAATAACATTACAATCATCCAATACACTCATGGTCCGACTACGGTACCAAAATAAAGATCAACCCCCACATGCGATAAAGTCCCCGATCGCCCCAACTGGTTACCACTACTGATCATCTGGGAAAGACACATAGTAACGGCGAGAGTCTTCATCGAACTCCCACTTGAGCTTAAGCGCATCGTCTGGAGCGGTATCATCGGTCCCCGCATCTGGTTTCGGAAGTAATCTGTGAGTCACGGGGACTCAGCAATCTCGCACCCTCGCGATCAAGACTATTTAAGCTTATAGGTAAGGTAATGTATGATGTGGAGCTGTAGCAAGCGACTAGCATATATGGTGGCTAACCTATTCTCAAAAGAGAGCGAGAAGAGAAAGCAAAGCACAGACGAACAACTACGATCAAGAAGTGATCCTAGAACAACCTACGTCAAGTATTACTCCAACACCGTGTTCACTTTCCGTACTCCGCCGAGAAGAGGCCATCACGGTTACACACGCGATTGATTCATTTTAATTAAGTTAAGTTTCATGTTATCTACAACCGGACATTAACAAATTCTCATCTGCCCATAATCGCAGGCACGGCTTTCGAAAGTTCAAATCCCTCCAGGGGAGTCCCAACTTAGCCCATCACAAGCTCTCACGGTCAATGAAGGATATTCCTTCTCCCGAAACATTCCGATCAGGCTCGACATCCCGGTTATAAGACATCCTCGACAATGGTAAAACTAAACCAGCAACACCACCCAGATGTGCCGACAAATCCCGATAGGAGCTGCACATATCTCGTTCTCAGGGCACACCGGATGAGCAAGACGTCGGGTAGGCCAGCCCAGAGTTGCCCCTGGTAGCCCCGGACATCGTTCAGTTGGACCAACACTTAGAGAAGCACTGGCCCGGGGGGGTTAAAATAAAGATGACCCTTGAGTCCGCGAAACCCAAGGGAAAAAGGCTAGGTGGCGAATGGTAAAACCAATGTTGGGCATTGCTGGAAGAGTTTTATTCAAGGCGAACTGTCAAGGGGTTCCCATTATAACCCAACCGTGTAAGGAACGCGAAAACCGGGAACATAACACCGATAAGACAAAAACTAGGGCGGCAAGAGTGGAACAAAACACTAGACAAAAGGCCGAGCCTTCCACCCTTTACCAAGTATATAGGTGCATTTAAGATAACAAGATAATATAGTGATATCCCAACAATAAACAATGTTCCGACAAGGAACGATCTCCAATCTTCACCTACAACTAGCAACGCTATAAGAGGGGCTAAGCAAAGCGGTAACATAGCCAAACAACGGTTTGCTAGGACATGGTGGGTTAGAGGTTTGACATGGCAATTTGGGAGACATGATAAGCAAATGGTAGGCATCATAGCATAGTCATAGCAAAAGAGCGAGCATCTAGCAAGCAAAGATAGAAGTGATTTCGAGGGTAAGATCATCTTGCCTGCAAAGTTGTCAGAGTTGACTTGATCCTCGTAAGCGAACTCAACGGGCTCCTCGTTCACGAACTCGTCTCCTGGCTCTACCCAAACAAGAACAACAAGCAAATGGAACACAATGAACCACGTGCAATGCTCAAACAACATGATGCAAACATGGTATGATATGCGGGATGCGGGATGTGATGCATATGCTAGATTTGACAAGGAATGATTGAACCTGGCCTCAACTTAGAAATCCAAGAGTGCCACTGGAAATTTGAGGTGATTTCGGTTGAAATCGATATAAAGATCACCGGAATCGGATGCACGGTTTGGAAATGGCAAGCAAAACAAATATGGCACCGGTCTGTGATAATCAGCAAGTGACCAACTAAATGCATCAAGATAAATATTCTACAGCACTCAAACATGACAACAAAATATATGGCAGGGATCCACCCATAAGGCTTGACAAAAGATGAACACTGAGCTACGGCTAATTCATCCATTAACAGGTTCAAACAAGCATGGCAAAAGTGCAAATGATAACAGGTTTCAGACTTAGTGAAATTAACACAAGTCTAGAATTTATCATCAGGAAGCACACTTTAGAGCATGAAAACTACAAGCTACATGAACTTAACATGGCAAAGCAAGGCATGGAATGAAGCTACTCAAAGCACTTAACAAAAGTCCCTTAGTGACCTTGAGCCAAAAGGGATCAGAAAATACAATTGCAAGCATGTGAACATGGCAAAAACATAAACAGATTTCAGACTTAGTGAAAAAACTGGAGCATGCAAATCAGTTAACGAGTAGGCATGTTTACGAGCTCGATGCACTCACTACAGAGCATGGAATGACAAACTAAGCATACACCCATCAAGAATACATGGCATAGGAGCTAGACATGGCAAGAACAATGACATAGCATGCACGGATCAATAGCAACATCCTCGGCAAAATCACTAAACATGTCAACAATCTGCCAGGATTAATTTATAGAAAAAGTAGAGCTCGATTGACTCAAGCTAGGGTGCTCCATAAATGCAAACAAAGACATGGATGGATAGAGCACCACAATGTTAACAAAACATCCTTACTGATCATCCTCAAAAGAGGCACGGATCACTAGGAAACAACATGAACATATGGCATAACAACAAAATCAGGACAAGGACTTAGTGAAATTCTAAGTCCCTGAAACCAGCATTACCGATTACGCTACTTTGCAAGCTTGTGATAGTCACCACAAGTATCAGAAAAATACAGGATAAGCACCTCTGTAAAGATGGCATGGCATATAACAAAACACATGTAGAGCTCAGGATCATAACATGCACACATTAAACATGGCAAAAATGACAAATAGCTATCTGCTGAAACAGATCTGCCAAATTCCTCACATAGCCCTCTTCCAACAGCATTTCGGGCATCAAGATGAGCTCAAATGAAAATGATGCAATGAGATGAAATGATTTACTCGTCGAGGCGAATATTTTGATATGCTACACGCACGAATCGGAGCTACGGACGCAGAGTTACGACATGATGAAAATTTC